CGTCTCTCCAACCCCTGGCCCTCAAAGGGGGGTGTCAAGACCTTTTATGCCTGTAAACCACCTTGGGGGTGAGGGTGAGGGGCGGGAGTGGGGGTGAGGGGCTTCAGACATTCCGAGGGCCAGTGGATTTCGTAAATCACCTCCTGGGCGGAGATGAGGGTGAGGGGCCAGGGGACTTTGGATATTCCGATTGTTACTTAAGTGGTTTACAGAAGTCAAGATAAGCATTAGGTTACACATTGCCTGGGTAGGGTGGAAATTACAGACCTTAGTTACTTATTACAAGTCGTGGGGGTCAAGATGGTGTGGGTTTGGACTGCCTGCCTGTCACATCAGGGTTACAGAGAGCAGTTTCAACAGAAAGCCGAGGTATGGTTGAGGTATGCAGTTTTATGGGGCTTTTACCATGTCACACTAGAATAAGCAAAAGAAAAAAAAATTAGCCTGTGGGCCTAGAAGCCGGATGGAGTCAGTCATGTTAGGTTTATCTCATTATTAATTTATTTGTTTTTATTTTTATTTTTTTGAGACGGAGTCTTGCTCTGTCTCCCAGGCTGGAGTACAGTGGTGGGATCTCAGCTCACTGCAACCTCCGCCTCCTGGGTTCCAGGGATTCTCTGCCTGCCTCAGCCTTCCAAATAACTGGGATTAGAGGTGCCTGCCACGATGCCTGGCTAATTTTGTATTTTTAGTAGAGACGGGGCTTCACCATCTTGGCCAGGTTGGTCTCAAACTCCTGACCTCAAGTGATCCACCTGCCTTAGCCTCCCAAAGTGCTGGGATTACAAGCATGAGCCACTGCCCTGGTTAGATTTCTCTCTCTCTCTCTCTCTCGCTCTCTCTTGCTCTCTGTCTCTCTATATATATATTCTGCAAAGGAAGTTTCACAATGGAGACATCTCCCCTTTACCTCCCAGGCTAGCAAGTACTGAGTAGGAAGCAAAAGTACTCTATCACTGAAGAAAGACTCTGAGGCGTAGGCACATACTTTAGGAAGGCCTAAAGTTGGGGAAGTGCAGGAAAATTGAGAAAATACCCCCCAGGAATACCAGCCCGCACCCAAGCACAAGATAACACTAGAAGAATTTGAAGGTAACTTTGGCAACAACAAAACCCTCACCCAGCTTGACTCTTGACTTGATTGGCCCTCACTAAGAGCTTACCAGAAAAAGCGGGGGGCTCATTTCCAACCATAAATACAATTTACCCCAGTTCCTCCTGTCCTACACATAATGTCCAGAATTTGATGAAAACAGCGAGCCTACACAGAAAAGCAAGACTTAAAAATCCAGTCAAGAGACAATGCAAGCAATAGAAACTGTCTCAAAGATGATTCAGATGTTGGTACTATTGAACGGGGAATTTAAGAATCAAACCGTTAATTATAACCATATTTAACATGTTAAAGGCTCTAGTGGAAAAGGTAGACAACATACATAAACAGATGTGGAATTTCAGCAGAAAGATAGAAACTATAGGAAGAGTCTAATGGAAAGGTTAGAAAATTTTGAAACAGAGTAAAAGAGAAGAAGAATGTATTCAAAAGGGTCATCAGCAGATTCCATACAGCTGAGAAAAAAAAAAAAATCAGTACTTTGAAAATGGGTTCATAGAAATTACCCAAACTGAAATTCAAAGAGTAAAAAAAAGAAAGAAAATAAAACAAGAACTGTGGTACAATACAAACTGGCCTAACATATATGTAATCGAAATCCCAAAGAAGAAAGAATGGGAGAGAAAAAACATTTAAAGAGAAAATGGCCAACAATTTTTTCAAAAATAATGGAAGAGTTATCAAACCACAGATCCAAGAAGGTCAGAGAACCATAGGCAGACTAAAATACACACACACACACACACACACACACACACTCCTAAATATATCATATTTAAACTGCTGAAAATCAACGATAAAGAGGAAATTATTAAAATACTCATTGGTCTTTATTTTAAGAGTTTTCATTGGAGAGCTAGGATGCCAGTGCCCCCACTCTAACCCACCACTAAGGAGATAATCAGAAGTTATACTGGCAGAAATGTCAAAACTATTTAAATCTTTGTGTTAGCCAACTCAACTGGCTAGAAGACTTTAAAAGAAATTTTTTATAAGATACAAAGATGAGCAAAAGAACAGTAGCCGAGCCTAGTTTCTAATGCACAATAATACTCTGCCTCCAAAATAAACGGGAACCTAGACCTTGTTTTCTGATCTTTCCTTCAGGACCAAACTTCTGGCCATCTCCTCGTCTGCAGTCTTCCTTATCTCTTCCTTGACGTGAGAAGTCATTTTTTTTTCCAAATCTCAGTTTTCTCCCCTGAGTTGTCCTAAATGTTGCATTGGGCCCTATCGCTGGACATGCCTTTTTGACTCTAAGCCCAGAGAGAACTCAGAATTCTCTCCCTTCTCTAAGAAGTGATTTATGAACCACAGGGGCAGTATGCAGTCTTTTAGGTTGTCCCTTTGCAGTTTGCAGGGCCAAAATACTCTGAAGTCATTCACCGCCTGTTTCATCATGACTTACCAGGGTTCTCCTCCTGGTGTCCCTCCGATGACTCTTGTTAACACTCCTCTATCTTCATCTGCCCATTAAATATTGGCGTTTGTTCAGCTTTTTGTCCTCTATGTAATTCTCTGTCAATAATTTTCTAAGTGAGAAGAGACTCCCTCAAGGGGTGTATCAGAATTGGAGGGGGAAGGAGAGGTAAAAGTATAATTTGAAAAGTTTACTCGGCATTACGATACAACTTAATACTTGTAAATTTGACAAACTAGATATGAAAATTAAGATAAAATTAAAGAAAGTATGTTTGTGTTCAGAGAGGTTGAAAAGGAACTTGAAAATGCTAAGAAGCATGATCTGTGTATGTCTCACTACTTCTAAATGATTTTACCTACATTCATGACTTCCTCTACACCAGTGGTTCCCAACAGAGTTGATTTTGCTCCCCGCTCCCAGGGGACATTTGTCAGTGTTTGGAGACACTTTTGGTTATTACAGCTAGATAGGGTTGCCGCTGGCATCTATTGAGTGGAGGCCACGAACATTGCTAAATGTCCTCGAGAGTGGAGAGCATAACCCCTCATAACAAAGAATTACCTGGCCCCACGCATCAATAGTGCTGAGAATGAGATCCTTGCTTCACTTCCTATATGCTGATGACTCCTCAGTCTTATCTCTGGTCAACACTTTTCAACTTAACTCTAGAAAAATATATTTATTAATATATTTATTATATATATAATATAATGATAGCTACCTATTAGGCATTTCCACTTCAAATCACTTTTTTTTTTGGCCAGGCACAGTGGCTCATGCCTGTAATCCCAGCACTTCGGGAGGTCAAGGATGTCAGGAGTTTGAGACCAGCTTGGCCAACATGGCAAAACCTTGTTTCTACTAAAAATACAAAAATTAGCCAGCCTGGTGGTGTGTAGTCCCGGCAACTCAGGAGGCTGAGGCAGGAGAATCCCTTGAACACGGGAGATGGAGGGTGCAGGGAACCGAGATCATGCCACTGCACTTCACCCTGGGCAACAAAGAGAGACTCTGTCTAAAATACACACACACACACACACACACTTTTTTTCTAAAATGAAATTCACTTATTTTTCCCAAGTTTAGCATTTTTACTCTATGATCTACTTAGAAGGATCTAAGACAAAATCCTTCAAGTCAGTGTATGTCCCTTACCATTCCCATTCAATCAATAATTAAGTTCTTGCACATTTCTTTTCCTCTTGCCAACTATTAGCACTAGAAAACCTTTAAGCAAGTCATTTAATTTCCCTATGCCTTGGTTTTCTCGACTGTAAATAGTAATAATAATAGTACATCTGCCTCCTAGTTATAAACAACAGAAATTTATTTCTTATTTTTATTTATTTATTTTTGAGACAGAGTTTTGCTCTTGTTACCCAGGCTGGAGTGCAATGGTGCAATCTCGGCTCACCGCAACCTCCGCCTCCTGGGTTCAGGCAATTCTCC